GGGGCGGCAGCGCCTGCGGCGGCCTCGGTCGGTAACATGCTAGGGTGACGGTGCTCCCACTCGTAGGTGACTATCAGCATGGCGGGATCGTCCTTAGCGCGCTCCACGTGTTTCCTAGCGGGGCAGCTTTTCACGCTACTGCACTTGTAATACCCACTGCAAGGAAAAAACAATTAAAATAAAAAATTAATAATCTGATTAAGTGGTCGTTCAATTTATAGACTAAAAATTATAATTTAAAATTATTTTTAATTTATATGTATTTTTTATAAAAAAATATTATAATAAATCACAAATTATAATTTAAATCATAAAATAAATTCTCTTACTAAGAGTCCCAATTGATTTATGAGGAATTTAGTATTTTACCGTGGAAAAGGCGAGCCTTTAATCGGCTTTTGACCATATTTCCTCCATGAATACTCATCTTGAGGAATATCTGCAATCTTTGAGCTAATTGCGGGAACTCTAATTGACTTTTTGAACCTGTTTTTCCTAAAATAAAAATATAGCAAATTAATAACTTAATTTTTTTTTTTAACCAATAAATGTTAAAACTTATTAACCAAGTTATTCCAAATTATAAAAATTAAAAAAAAAAGGGTTTTCAATTACAGGCATATAAATTTTTTTTTTCAAAGATTTATATATTAATTAAATACCTTCTTTTGTGGCAATGGCAAGAAGCCGAGATGGTTTTTCCGGCGACGTCGCAGGAGAGAGCGCTCTCATGGCACCTTTTCCGGCCAGCGAGCGGCGGTTTTCCGGCGGGGACAGCCGGAACCGGAGGGGGCAAGAGCGCGGGCCCCACCTTACCATTGGAAACGCTGCCGTCTCTGGTGACGGAAGACACAAACGACGTCGACGAGTACTGACTCGCCGAGTACTCGGACCTCGACTCAGTGGCGGAGGAAGACGCCTTACAATCATAGGACTTCGCCGCCTCCTTCTCCGGCCGGACCGGACCGCGGCGGAACCGGGCGTGGCCGCTCCGGTTGAGGATCGAGATGACCTGCTTGAATCGGGCAACGGTGAAGTCGGTCGCTTCGCGGAAATCGAGGTGATGTAGGGCTAAGGTTTGGGTTTGGTTGCTGTCGTTTTTGTCGGACAACGTGGACATGACGCGGATCAGATGCTCCATGGTCTTGAGGCCGGCGGATGCGGCTTCCTCTATGGTGGAGGCGTCTTTGGAGAAGCCGGCGACATCGATCGCCATTGAAGAAGCTTAGAGAGAGAAATTGGAGAGAGAGAATTGGGTTTTTTTTTATGAGGAAGAGTGTGAAAGAGGAAGATGGGATTTATATACAGAGAAAGGAAAAAGAAAGGTGCGGGTTGGGAAAGTCAATGCATCTGTGGGTCAATCCGATGGTGGAGATTTGGTTGGACTTTTTTCATATTGTTATTTATAAGGTCTGTTTACTTCGTTTATTTAAATTTATAATTTGATTTAAAATGTAATTTTATATGAAAATTTTTTATTATAATAAAAAAGTTAAATATGATTATTTTTTTGAATTTTTTATTTTAACAAAACTCAAATTCTAAACTCGTAAAATGAACGGACCTTAATTTCTCTATTAGAAAAAATATATATATATTAGGTAGTTTTTAATTTTTACTCGTTAAATTAAAAATATTGAGTAATTTTTAATTTTTAGTGATCAAATTTATATAAAAAAAATTATTTTATATATTTTTTTAATTTGATATATTTTAATTAAAGTTAACGGCTTGAAACATATTCTGTTAGTAGAGAAGTTCCTTATTATTTTTAGAGATGATTGAGTTTCTAATTTTTCTAATTTATTTTTGGGTTGAAATTCGGAGAAATGGAAATTTGGAAGATGAAGAAGAAGAAGACAAAAGAGTTGTTGCTGTAAAGGGTTTATAGCAGAGTTGGTGGTGGGGCCCACTTGGGGTAGGAAGGGTGGAGGGAAGAGCATCGAGGTAGCAACGCACTCATTTCGCTTGTTATTATTTTTTTTTCTTTTTTTGAGAAATGCTTTTGTGATTTGTGAGAATGGTCAACGGCTCAATTTCATATAAAAAAGGAGAATTATATCTAAAAAATTCCAACTAAGCTTTACACTGAAACGTCTCAAACTCGATCTGGAACGATCTCGTGAGATAATTAGACTATTTATAATGCAAATGTGAATAATAATGTTTAATTTATCATAAAAATATAGAAAAGATATACCTGAGAGATTGGCTTTTGAAAAGAACAGAGAATGTTTAGTTGGAGGATTCAAATAATGATTTGAATCATGGTTCATGATTTGCTACAGTATTTTTTCTCACAAAAAATACACGTAAATCGAAAATGATTCTAATCTATGAACCAAACGTCTCCTAAATAAAGACTAGACTTTTTACATTTTTTAAGTACTAAAATTCTATTTAATTAACTTTTGAGAACATACCCGAGACTTAAGGGATGTTTGGTTGGAGGATTCAAATCATGATTTGAATCATAGTTCATGATTCGTTACAGTGTTTTCTCTCATAAAAAATACACGTAAATCAAAAATTGTTCTAATCACATGATTCTAATCCATGAACCAAATGTCTCCTTAATCTCTTTTGGTATATTTGATTCACGCATTTAAGTTAATGATTTTGATTTTGAATTTAAATTTTATACAAATTATTAGTGAAAACTTTTTTTATTTAAATTTTTGTGAGAGAAAAATATTATATCACAATCGAATTATTTCAAACACACGAAACTAACAAACCCTTTAAAATTTATAATCTTTGAGAGTATTTAGAGTTGGAAATTTAAGTCCTTTGTAGTTAATTATCAACTAGATCAGAAAAGCGCTCCAATAATGACTTGAGTATATTGGGTTAGGCAAAATCGGAAGCAGCAACATGAGGGCAAAACCACCATGGAAAAGTTGAATACATATCTTTTAAAAAAGTAAAACCAAAAAAAAAAAAAGATTTGGGGCAAATAAAAAGTTGGACTTCGATATTGGCAAAGTCTACTCTGTGTCTCGTTCATTTAATCAAAAGTTATTCCCAAAGAACAAACTTTAAGCGCAAGAATGATGTCTGAAGTGTGCATGAAGGCTATTTTATGTTTTGAGAGAAAAGAAAATAAAGGATAAATAAAGAATGAAAGAAAAAGTCAACAAAAAAACTTTTGGTAAAAGTTGGATGCCATTATGATTTAGGAATTATTCTAAATGCATAAAGAGAGGTGACAAGTTGGGTCGTGTTGTGTTTGTGTCTATCTAAACTTTCGTGTCATATTCAAATTGATTGTGTTTTTATCGATCTAAACTTTCGTGTCATATTCTAATTGATTCACGTGTTATTCGTTTAGTTAAAATGTCATTTAGATCCGTAATGTTACGGTTAATGTAAACAATTTGAGTATTATTTTTTAGTCCATCTATCTATATTTTAAATTGTTAACATAAGTCACAAATCTTAGGGCTTGTTCATTTACATTTTTTGAGTTAGAGTGACTTGAGTTCAGATATTGATTTGAGTTAAGGTGTATTTGAGTTGGAACTCTAATTTGTATTTGTGTTTGGATGT